TCTGCTAGCAGATTAGGGACTTCTTCCCGCTTGCTTTTTCGGTACTGAATATCAACGAGGGAAATAACAGTCTGCCTCCCTGCAGCTTTCGGAGCTGATGAGCTGTTGTTGCTTTCTTTTGAGATTCAGCTTTCTTTCCAGTCTGAGGTTCTGAGTCTATGAGTGACCTATGCTACAAGCAAAGCAGGGAAGTTAATATACTTCTTAATTAACCTCTGCAGCATTCATTTGTTTTTATTCGAATTAGGGAAAGGCTAAGTAGGTAAATGTCTACAACTGCCTAAAAGCTGCCGGGGACTGCACAAAAACTCTGCTGAAATGATAGCTGCGGCAGTGGCACAAGTGAAATCTTGAAGAAGAGGCAATCATATGTGAGACAGGAACTCTCCTCACCCTCCTCCAGAGAAACTGAGCTCTCTCAGATATTCCCTTTCTCAGCCGCTTGTGAACCTTGTACTATTGTAAGCTAAGGCATTCGCAGATGATTTATTGTACTTCTTATTGTGCATTTGTTGCTTACCCAAGGTGATGGAAACAAATAAATTGTATTTAATTTTACCTTTTCTGTATTGTATAACCTTTTTTATATGGACTCAGCTGCTTGGTATCAGGCTCCAATGGTATTGCAATGTAATTCTCCCCGTCTCTGTGTGTCTGCGTGTAATGTCCCCATAGAAGAGCGAAAATGATTAGAGTCAGTTGGTATATTCCCTCCTGCAACTAATGAGAAATATAAAAAGATCCTTAGGGTGGATGTGGAAAATGGTAAATGTCTACAACTGCCTAAAAGCTGCCGGGGACTGCACAAAAACTCTGCTGAAATGATAGCTGCGGCAGTGGCACAAGTGAAATCTTGAAGAAGAGGCAATCATATGTGAGACAGGAACTCTCCTCACCCTCCTCCAGAGAAACTGAGCTCTCTCAGATATTCCCTTTCTCAGCCGCTTGTGAACCTTGTACTATTGTAAGCTAAGGCATTCGCAGATGATTTATTGTACTTCTTATTGTGCATTTGTTGCTTACCCAAGGTGATGGAAACAAATAAATTGTATTTAATTTTACCTTTTCTGTATTGTATAACCTTTTTTATATGGACTCAGCTGCTTGGTATCAGGCTCCAATGGTATTGCAATGTAATTCTCCCCGTCTCTGTGTGTCTGCGTGTAATGTCCCCATAGAAGAGCGAAAATGATTAGAGTCAGTTGGTATATTCCCTCCTGCAACTAATGAGAAATATAAAAAGATCCTTAGGGTGGATGTGGAAAATAGGCCTTGTGTACCCAGGACCTTCCTCGCCCCTTGTGCGATGCAGGGGGGCTGTCTCGCCTTGCGCATGCCGCAAGGGAGCGAGGAGCAGCTCTGTCTGCATGCCTCCACGCTCTCTTCCTCTGGTTTTGCTAGATGCAGAGTTGCCGTCTAGGAACCGTGCGTGGGCTGTGTGCTGAGGTTCCCCACATCTATGTTGCCTCTCCACAGCTGTGCATTCACTAGCATGTATGAATAAACGTGCTACACTCGCATTCAGAACTGATGGCTTCCCATCTGCTAAGAAGCTGGCTTGCAAGGTGTCATGGTTTAACCCGGCTGGCAACTCAGCACCACGCAGCTGCTCGCTCACTCCCCCCCCTCCCTCAGTGGGATGGGGGAGAGAATCGGAAAGAAAATAAAAGGTTAGAGCCGAGGGCTGAGATAAAGACAGTTTAATAAGAGAAAATAATAATAATAGTAATAATGAGAATGATAACAGAATATACAGAATATACAAAACGAATGAGGCACAAGGCAATTGCTCACCACCCACCGACCGATGCCCAGCCCGTCCCGAGCTGCAAGCAGTCTCCCCGCGACCGACCCTCAAAAAGTCCTTGAGTAGTCTGAGCACTACTTGGCAACAGCTGAAAACATCAGTGTGTTATCAACATTCTTCTGGTACTAAATCCAAAACACAGCACTATGCTAGCTACTATGAAGAAAATTAGCTCTATCCCAGCTGAAACCAGGACACAAGGCTCTCATTATCTGTAACAATCTGGTGGACGGCAACGATGGTGCCGAAGTGGGGCATGGAGGCTGAGGATTAGCGTGAAGGTTGTACTGCAGTGCTCTACCCCTGCTTCTTTTTCCCACAGTCAGCCTCACATATTGGAAACTTGTTGCTTCTCTGAGTCTTTCTCTTTGCCTGATAAGAAGAGGATTGGAAAGATTCTGAGTAAAGGGTTTTCATGCAAACCAACACCTTACCTCTGTGGCTGTTGCTTGTCCCCCAAAAGCACCATGACGAAGGCTGTGGCCACTGCCCTATGCAGCGCTTCGTGTAAAGATACCTGAGCCAGTTTTAGACAAGGTAGGCAGAAGCACTACAGCTTCAGGAGGGCGCTCAACCCAAACTCACCAGAAGTATGAATACCTCTTCTCTGGAACGCCATGCAGGAACAAGTGGGATGGATCTCAGCTCTGAGCTAACATTCATCCATGTGGTGTTGCAGTAGAGTGTGCTAACGAAAGGTCTTCTCATTCCCTCCAGCTACAAATATTTAATTCCAGGGATAAAATCAAATACAAATGTAATATTGATTTATTAGTAATAATCAAGCAATGTTTATATTGAATAAAAAGACTTAATATAAATAAAATGTTGTATCAAATATTAACATTTAAATATTAATAAATCAAAGTATAATTTTGATATAAAACAAGCAGCAAATATAGAGTAGTCATTCAGACAGACGAGAAAGAGGTGATGACTCTTCCTCTTGGTAGCCCTGGTGCTTGCTTGAGAAATGACAGGCCATGTCCCATCTTGGCCAGAGCTGCTTCAGTACCTCAGTTTTCCCACCCTTGAAAAAATGTGGTGGAAGAGGTTGATGGCCTGACTGAATCCCCATGACAAGCCAACCAGCCTTAGGGGTACAACAGTCACGGCTGTTCCACGTCTTAGGCGAGAGCTGCAGCCACTGGGATTTGGGGTTCTTTTCTTGGAGCTGTTCATCAGCTGGCGACCAAGGGATGACGACAGTACTGCAGAAGAGCAATTTCAACAATTCCAGGAGACCCAGCTGGAATAGGACGGACTGAGGTTTAACTCCTTGAAATGTGGCTAAGCTGAGGTGAGAGCCCAAGTCCCCGCATCGAGCATTCGACCTACTCGGAGATGGATGTGCACGTCTTTATAAAAAATTCTCATTTTGTTGACACTACTCCCTGCTTATAAGTTTTACTGGTGCCATGTTGTCGCTCTACTCACTGGTTAGCCTCTGGCTCTGCTGCAAGTCCTGCCCCATCTTGAGCAGGGTCAGAGCACAGCTACAAGATCAGACCCCCAGGAGAGGACTTCCCCGTTTAGCTTGAGGATTGGGCTTCAGGCACTAGGATTTAGGCTTGAGCCAGGCCCCCGGGCAGTGCATTAGCAAGTTGGTGTGGCTGCTGCTGCAACAGCTTTGTACACATTTATTGTCAGAAACTCAAAAGTAAAAAGGACTCGGTCCCCTGTGAACTCAGGTGACCATGGAGAGGCGTTTTCATTTTATTTATAGGGGACGTTGGTGACCAAAAAGGCTGAGTCAGCTCAGTGCCTTTGAGAACCTGGCTTTAAACTCATGTGACAATTTTGGAAAACCCAGACTTAAAACCAGATTTCATACTGGAAGGCAAAGCAACTTCTTCAGCGTAAGCCACAAAGAAGAGTCATCGGCCTAACCTCTAGTGTGTTCATCTGTTAATCAGTGGGACAAAACACTTAACAAAAATACATTTTCACAATTGTACAAATTCTTTTTTTATCTTTCAGTAGAATTAATCCAGTTGGGTGCTACGTTAATGCAGATGGCCAGACGTGCCATAGTTGCACACCGAGAAGCAGCTCCGAGGGAGCTGAACATGCTTAGCAGCGTGTTTGAAACCAGGCCAAGAGTGCTCAGACCGCGAGGGATGCTGAGCCACACGAGCAGCATCTTAAGTAATTATTAAAACGTTAAAAAATGCTGTTCTCAACCAGTCACTACTGACTGTGTGATGCAGTCCATCTGCTGATATCACTAAAGAGAATACATCCAGTACAATTGTTCCTCCCACTACTTTTGTCTAATCATGGAAAAAAAACCAGCCATGGCCGAGCCGCAACATGAAACGTATGAAGCCGTGTGAAGGCGTAACGCTACACGTGCAGTGTGAGAGTGAGACAAACTGAAAAGTAATTCGAAACGATTTTATTGGACACAGCGAACGTTTGGCATCGTATTTATGGTAGACCTGCGTCTGCAAGAAATCCATTCGTCATGATGGCAGCAGGGCTGTCTGCACAGACCTACAGTTTCCCTCCGCATCAGTAAAAAGGGGGCTGCCAAACAAGGGGGCTGTCCTGAGGCCAGGAGCTTCCCGTGCCCCCCCTGTTTATCGGCAGATGCCAAATTGGACTTCAGGTATGCATTCATTTGGTTTAATCAGTAGGAATAAAGTTACACAAACACTGTTGTTCTGATCCGCTCAGCTGTCGGATTAGTCTGAAATGGCCACTGAGCACCCAGAAGCAAACAACACATCTCTTACGTAAACCCTCCCATACCGGCACAGAGACCATTTCCAGAATATTTGCAATTGCCATCCAGCCGCAGTTTGGAGAAACAGAGCCTTTAACGAAGGGCACGGAAACGTGTACCAGAGAGGTGCTACAGGCAGGTGGGATAGAGAGGAGCCGGTGAGCTGGGGGTGCTACAGCTGGGCCCACACGGTGACAGCACACGGTGGCGGCCACACCGGGTGGCCGGCTGGCCCTGCAGCTAACGCCATACCGCCCCGGCTGCGGGCACCGGGGCTTTGGAGCCTCTGTCCCTTCCACTCCCAAGAGCTGCCAGAGAGAATGAACCTCATTTTCTCTCCGCTTATGGCAACATCTGGTTGCCGTGGGGGGAATAGGAGAGAGGAGAATCTCCCAGTAGCATAATCCGCTTCAAGCGAGGTTCGGCTCACAGTGAAAACAGCTGGCTTTCTGCCCAGAACGGAGAATGAACTTTAGAGGATTTCAAGTGAGTGAGCCCCATCTTCAAAAGCATTCCTCTGGTAGAGCAACATGCTCCACTGGATCTCGTCTGAAGACCTGTTAGACTGAGGCTGCTGAGGTACTCAGAGTAAATCCACATATTAAAAATTAATATTGGCAAAAGGAACGGTTCCTATAAACAGACATTACCAACCTGAAATCTAGTCATTAAAAAAAAAAAAAAAAGTAATTTCAAGTATTACATCTATCTGATTTCCCTGGGGGATGCTCCACAGCTTTGTAATCACATTTCCCTGATTTTTATGAACGTTCCTCTCACCTTCATGCCTTTGCATAAGGTTCACACGAACAGGAATACAGGGAGAGAATCTTTGACAAAAATAAGTAGGGAGGACAATAGAATGGAAGAGGTGAAATTTCGGATTTCTTTCCCTTACAGGACTTTGCAAAATTGTCAGGTAATACGTTTCAGAGGGTCACGATTGACTTAAAGGTGTGTGTACGTTTTACCTCCTCTGAACCTCATTCAATTTTTAAAATGAAACCTCTTGCTCCCTGGGGTAAGGAATCTTAAACCCGCGTTCATTCCATTTCTTTTCAGAGCGGCTCCCGGTATTCGGAAGAGGCTAACGCCATCGCCTGTCACAAGCCTCGCCCAGGCACGATCTTGAAGCGCACCGTCCCCGCGGAAGATGCACGGAGCGCTGAACTTCACGGCGCCCGCCATCCCTCCCGCGGCCCCCGACGTGCCCCCCCCGGCAGCGTAAGAGCGAGGGTGCCGTTCGGAAGCGGTTTTTATTCACGCTTTCTCCCGCCCACGGAGGACCAGCCGGGCCACCCCCCGTTTCAGCGGGCAAACCCGCGGCAGGGCCCAAGCACCCCCC